GGTCAAAAGTTAAGGATAGGGGAGCCACCTCCACAAACCAACCCCAGTTCATCTATACAAGGTCATTTGTCAGCCTTGCTTTAGAGATGTATAAATAAATGTCAAAAGAGACCAAAGCCAGAGTTAATCTCAGACTCATGAAACACTTAACAGAGCAAGGTAGATCAGAATGGGGCAGGTCAATCCAAGCAGAGCCCCCAGCAGCCACTTGCTTCCACAACCCAAAATCACTGCCATATCCTCAATCGGACTTCACAATCTCCAGGTGGACCTTACAAAGATATAATTTCTGAAAATTTGGGTATGCAGGTTTTGTGACTGAAATCTTCAAACTTTCATGGGGTTGGCATGTGCTACCACCCCCAAATTCCCTGTACTTTCTTAACCCTCACAGTCACGTTCAAACCCAAAAACTTGCAAACAGTTAAAGCTGCTCCATCCTTACCTTCTCCATAAAAACGCTGAACACCCTGAACAAACATGATGACCTCTTTGTACCTGTATTGCAAATCATAATGAAAAAAAGGATAGGCAGAAAGAAAAACTGCCTGTCATAGAGGCAGGTTGTGGGGGGTTATTATTGAGGGATGGTGGGAGGGAAACAGGGGACATTGGTGGTGGGAAATGTACACTAGTGGAGAGATGGTTGTTGGGTCATTGCATGACTGAAATTCAATCATAAACAGCTTTGTAATGGTCCATTTTATTGACATTCAATATTTTTTTAAAAAAACTTAAAAACTGAGAAAAGATAATGATGGGAGAATGAAAAAAGAAAAAAGAGAGAAGGTAATAAATAGGTAGACATAAGTATATCTGTAATTATGAATGTAAGAGACCTTAAAACACTAGCAAAAAATTATCAGACTATAATTTTGAAAAACTCATTTACATAGAAGTCAACTGGAAATAATATGATGATCCAAGTAGATTAAAAATAATAGATCAGACAAACATTTATGAATTAAACATTGTTTAGAATAATAAAATGGCTTTCTGATTACTACACAAATTAAACTTTAGAACAAGATGCATTTGTAAAATTAAAATAAAATTGCTCATACAAATAATAATACATTGCTGCAAAGTGAGTTTTATCTCTGAAATGCAAAGATGATGAATTGAAATGCAGGTTAGGTAATCATATGAATACCTGAAAAAGAAATCCTATCAATAAAGGTGGGATTCTGTGCCAGGCTATGGGACGGGTGAGAACCCTTCCCACCCCAAGGGACTCAGCCCCGGCAGCCGGCCTCCACTGCCCAACCACTGCCACGCTCCAGACCGCTTTCCAGACAATTAGGCCGAGACTTACACAAGAACGAAGTCCCACAGAACCAAGATAATGCAGAACTTTGTGACGTTGGATTTTGGACTCAACAGAACCTGGAACAAAGATCCTCTACCTGCTTCTCCCAGTCTCTGGTTACTCAGGGGTCACACCCATAAGCCACACCCTGCCAGCACCAAATAATCTCCTCATTGGCCACCCTCCAGAACTCAGGATACTCCTCCCAGATGGGAGTATATAGGAGGATCCCAGAACCATGCCACTGGATTCCGCACCAGACTGTGGGGCGGGTCAGAGCCCTCCCCACCCCAAGGGACCCAGCCCCGGCAGCAGCTAACCTCCACTGCCCAACCACTGCCACGCTCCAGGCTGCTTTCTGGACACATTATAAGACATTTCCTACCCATTTATGCCTCTTGGAGAGCCCAGCAAGCTACGGAGTATCCTGCCCACACAGGCAGAGCCTGGCAAGCTGCCAGTGGCATATTAGATATGCTAAATACAGTAACGACAATAGGTCTCCTTCCTCTGACCCTAAAAGAGCCTCCAATCATTGGGGAAAGATGAGTAAGAAGACTGCTAAAATCTCAGGGCTGGGAGGAATAGAGATGTTACTGGCGCCAGCTTGAGTAATTTGACAACTAACAGGATGACAGTGATACATGAAGGTGATCAATAAAGGTAGGAAAAAAATCAACAAACATAGGGAAAATTTCAATATCCACTCAAGATCAAAGAAAAACCTCAACAATTTAGAATAGGAGAAAACAGTCTCATTTGACAAAGGTCATATACAGAAACACCTACAGGTAGTATCAGTCTTAATGCAAAATACTGAATTTTTTTGAAAGTTGATGGTAGGAACAAGACTTAGTACAATAGTGTAGTTCTAGCTAATTTAGAGACAAGAAAAGAAAGAAAAGAAAATCAAACTGGAAATAAAAGAACATAACTATTTCTATTCACAGTCTACAAAACAAAACACCTCCTATACAGAATTGATTGATGAATTCAACAAAATCCCAGAATCTGTATCAATTCATAAAAGTTAACAGTACCTCTAGGCACCATTTCCATAAAATAAAACTTAGATATTAACATTAAAAACACTTATCTATAATAAGAAATAAGGCTTAGATGTAACAAAATATGTTTAGTATCCATATACTAAAAATATAAAATTCCAGTAAACACATTTTAAAAATCTTAATAAATGGATGTAATGTTACACCCACCAACTGCCCCCAGCACCGTGTAATCCCATCAATGGCCAAGATGCAGAGACTATAAAACCAAGCTTCCGAAAGCTTATTGAATTATTCTCACTCTCGGAGAACCCGGCAGGCTACCAAGAGTATTCTGCCATCACAGCAGTCTGTCACGCTCCCCATGGTGTATTCAATATGCCAAAACCCAGTAACAATGATGGGTCTCATTCCCCTGACCCTGAAAGAACCTCCAATGTGGCACTTGCTAAATTCTCAGGGCTAGGATGAATGGAGATGTTACTGGTGCCTGCTCAAGGAAATCAATGAACAACAGGATGACAGTGATACAGTGATAATAAATGGAGACATTTACAGAGTTCATCCATTGGAAGTTTTGGCATGGTTCAGGCAGCCATTTTTCTCAAAATGATCTATAGATGTAAAATAATCTCAATCAAGGGGCTGGAGTGTTAGCATAGCAGACAGGGTTATTGCTTTGAAAGTGGTCAACACAGTTTCAATAACTACTACCACATATGGTCTCCTGATCACTAGCAGAAGTAATCTCTGAGCAGAGAGCCAGGAAAACCCCCTAAACACTTCCAGTTGTGGTCTACAAATCCCCTAAAAAAACTCATGTAGGATTTATTATAACTATAGAAAAGCCCAGTCTAAAATATATGTAAGCTAGTAAAGCAAGTAGAGTTTCCAAAACAATTTTGAGATAGATAAAAAATATGGACATTATTCAACTTTAATACATCCTGTAAACTCCAATATAAAGATATTATAGGTGACAAGATAAGTACATAAATCAATTAAGCAGAAAAATATAATATTCAGTCCATGCGTAGAGTCATTTTGTTTTTGACAAGGGAACAAACACAATTCAATGAAGAAAGGGCAGTCATTTAAAAAAAATGTTAGGGACAATTGGCATCCATATTTAAAGGATAACCTCTAACCTATATCTTGCCCTCTACACCAAATAAATTAAAATTTAAAAATAGAAATGTGAGATGATAGAATATTTAAAGCTTTAAAAGCAAATGTAAAAAAAAAAAACAAAAACAAACAAACTACTGGGTGAAAACAAAGAGAAAATATAACCTTGGATTAAGTGACATTTCTTACATAATGACACAAAGATCATTAGACTTCATCAATATGAAAGATACTTTTTCTCTCTTATGAACAGTTAGGATAATAAGCAGGTCAGCCACGGGCTGGAAGAAAACTTTACAAATCATATAGCAGAAATGGAACATGTACTCAAAATACCCAAAGTTCTCTCAAAATTAGCAATAAGAAAGCAATCTTATGTATAAAAATGATAGACTATTTTAATAGTTAAAGTAAGAAGGCATAAGAATTACAAGAAAGAATGTGCAAATATTCCCAAGGTCATTAACCATGGCCAAAAGAGAACAAATAAAAAGAACAATTAGTTAAAATTACACATCTATTAGAATCTTTCACAAAATAAATAAAAACTCTAAGTACTAATGAAGATGGAAAAATAGGAATTTCCAACACTGTTAGTGGGAATCTAAAATAGCACAGCAACTCTGAGAAATAGTTTAGTATATCGTATGAACCTAAAATATACTCTACTCATCAAATAAACAGGAAACTAACTATAGTATTTATCCTAGAGAAGACCTTATTTTGCACAAAAACGTATGCTTGAATGTATACGGTAACATCATTTTTGTTTGTTATGAACAAGAAATAATGCAAGTATATATTAATAGAAATTGATTAGTACATCCATACAGAATACTATATAACATATAAAAATGGTACGGATGTATAATCTAAAAAATATACACACACAACTAGAGGACTTAAGGGGCTTTTTCTCAGATAACCCAATTTCAAAATGTTACAAATTGCATCTTTCCATTTCATTTATATTTCCACTTCCATTCATTGTAGAGATGACAAAGGACATAGGAACAGAAAAACATCAGTTGGTACTAGGGGTTATGGAAAAGAAGGGTCAGAATACAAAGGTGATGATATAAAAAATTCTTTGGGTGTTAAAATATTTTGCCTTTGTTGATGATTCTAAGACTCTATACAAGTATAAAAACTTATAGCATTATATAACAAGAAAGTAAAAAAAGAAAAACACTAAAAACCTCTTTCAGGGACTTTGCACAACCAGCATTTAAAGAAAATTCTCAATTTAACAGAACAATAAGCCACATCTTACACATCCTTTAAAGACAGCAAGCAAACCTGAAGCAAATCATGTGCTATTTGATTGCTAGAAGTTACTAGCAATCAAGTGGTACATTTCAGGAAGAAAACATATTTTTCTACCCCATAAATAAGATGTAGGAAGGCACTTAAAATTAGTACTATTGAGACTTGTATAGGAGGGAGAAGTGTGGAGATATGAAATGCAGATAAAAAAAATGAAGAGAGCATATTGTAGCAACAACTTCCCCTTTAAATGAAGGGTGTAATAATTTTCCAGCTAGACTCATCAATACCTCTTCAATGGCTCCAGCAGAAATCCTATGACCAGCTACATTTATCACATCGTCAACTCGAGACATAACATACAAATAACCTTCTTCATCCATGTAACCAGCATCCATTGTGTCATAATATCCCTGGAAATAAAAAGTGATGTTTAGTTAACAGGTAATGTTGCTAATATAATAATTTATAAACTTGTTATATATAAGTGTGATAGAATGGGTTTACTATATGTCTTTGATGTTTCAGAGTAAAGAATAAATTGTTTGGATTTTTTGTTGTTTCTGTTAGTTTTTTTTTTAATTGGGGCCACACCAGCAATATTCTAGTCTTATTCCTAGATCTGTCTTTCCTGATGGGAGTCTAGGGATCATAAGTGAAGCTGGGGTAGAACTGAGGAGAGTACCTGGCTTTCTGCATTATCTTTTTTGTTTCTAGTGTGTTCTTCTAATACTAGAAGAACATTATTCAGGTATATGATGAACTGAGAATTATAAAGTTTGTAAATATGACTGTTTTTTCAATATTTCCAATATGCTTTGGTATTGTGAAGTAATTCTTTAAAAGATGTCTTCTTTTGTTATAATTATTTTCAAAAGCTTGTATTTGTTCTAAGCTTCAATAAAGTACAATAGTAAATAATGACATTTGATTTATAATCAATTCAAAGTAACAGCACATCTTTACTAGTACAGTATTTACCAGAGGACAGAAATCAAGAATTATAAGAAAGTAGTAAACTTTACTTCCCCTAATACCTCTAAAGTTATTTTGATAAGTATGTTTATTAACATGGCGTCTAGGTAAAAAAAAATTCAAATGAGCTATTATTTGTATTCTTAACTATTTTAAGACTCAATATGCCCATCTGTTACATGGGTTAATAACTATCCATTATCAGATCTGTGTGAAGAATAAATTAAATGTTGTGTTTAATGATGGAAGACCCTCATGTAACACAAGTGTTCAATAACTGGTCTTCTCTACTGTGATTAATACTGCAACTACCATTCAACAGATAAACAAGAGTTAAGAATATGGACTCTGGAATCAAATATGTGATTTCTAAAGTTAGCTTCACCGCATATCATCTACAGAAAAAAATTCTCATCTTTTATGTGCTGTTCTTAAGTCCTTATTTGAGAGAACAGGGTTACAAAATAAAATATAAAGTCACAGCACATTGATTAATCATTACATGGGATTTTGAAGGAGCTTTCAAGTGTCAAAGGCGATCATGTTAAAAATCACATGGACATACTATTTGCCATCGTCACAACATAAGTAATCACATCAGTACTTTGATGGTTTAACTGTGGCCCATCAAGCAGACAGATGGAGTTGACTGGAGTCAACTACACTGACAAATCTTTCCTGCCACAGTCCCTCTCAAAAAAGTTTAATCTTGGCTCTTGGGGTCATTTTACTCTGAGCTCTACTTGTAAAGGGAGATATTTTAAGTTCCGTTCCATGCATTTGTCTAGTTGATTAGGTTGGCTGCCTTTCATTCACAACTAACAGATAGAATTATGTCATTCTATCTGTTATTTATTAAACTACTATGACCCTAGTTTTGAAATGAAATTCTGAGCATTTATCTAATCCAGTGCATAAAGAGGTCTGGGTACTTTTCATCAAGGCTGACAAGAAGGACAGCAAAAAATGATGGTAGGACCATGATATCTCTTACTAATAACACGTTTTTATAACCATATATCTGCCAGTGGTAATATGTAAATGACAAAAAAGGAATATCCTTTTTTATCCAGGCAGTAAGAGTAACTTGTAGAATTTTGAAATCACCATCTTAATTTTTCTGTATTGTTTAACTTTTGTCCTTGGGGAACATTTATTCAAAACTTTTGAAAATAGCACTATAGCACTGTCCTCCCATTGTTCATCATTGTTTGAGCGGGCTCAGTAACGTCTCCATTGTGAGACTTATTTCTACTGTGTTTGGCATATTGAATACTTCACAGGTAGCTTGCCAGGCTTTGCAGTGTGGGCGAGATACTCTCGGTAGCTTGCCAGGCTCTCCGAGAGGGGTGGAGGAATCAAACTTGGGTAGACCAGGCCGGGCGCATGCAAGGCAAGTGCCCTACCCGCTGTGCTATTGCTAGTAAGAGAAAAATATAATTTCTAAAAAATTAAATGTACTTTGTTCAAATAAGGCTAAGGAGTTAATAGAACACTACTTGCTTATGACAATTTCATTTTTCTGTCTTGGCAGTGGAATCCAAAAGACTCCTATATCCAAAATGAATAGAAATCCTCCCATAATTTTTAATTAAAAGGACCTAAGAAGTATTACAAAGAACGAGGTGCTTGACTTGCAATCAGCTGTCCTAGGTTTGACCCCTGGCACCATATGTAGTCTCCCAAGTCCCACCAGGAATGATTTCTGAGCATAAATACAGTAGTAAATCCTAAGAACAGTCTGTTATGACCCCCTAACAAAACAATTATTTTAATTTAGCAAAATTATTCACATGATAAGGACTAATACACTTCCAGAAAGTTGGCAAAAGAAACAGAAACATATATCCAGAGACAAAATAAGCATAGACTGATATATTCTTAGAAAATTGTAAACTGGGTAGTTTTACTACTGAAATCTGAAAACTTTGACAACTTTTTTAAAAGCTGTTTTATGATCTATAACCATACAAGATGTATTGCTCAGTCAAATAGGCAAACAGTATACAGTCACGGTCACGGTCTTTCTGTTGTTCATCGATTTGCTCGAGCGGGCCCAGTAACGTCTCCATTGTGAGACTTGTTACTGTGTTTGGCATATCGAATATGTCACGGGTAGTTTGCCAGGCAAACAGAATATCAAGAAATATCCAAGACGATATTTTAAGTAAACAAAATTCTTACAGGAAATTTTTCAAAGTATAAATGCTTGAATGCTTCCTGATTCTTCCAGAGTCCTGAAAAAGCCCCAGGTGGTAATGGTAACCTTATATTAAAAAGACAAAAAGAAACAGAGCAATTAACAATGAAATGATAAAAAAGACACATTGATTATAACTAAAAATTTGCCAGTGGAATGTATAACTATAATTTCAATCCCACATTTGTTTCCAATCCCTTCATATGCTGAACAGTTCATAGTTAAGTAAAGTAGTTGACTAGAACATAACACAGTCAATTAAGAATGACTATTTTTCTGGAAAATATACAAAAGGAACATATTATTTGAACTTTCAAACATTTCTGGCAATATTAATTGTTTCAATAAGAAGTATAATACCTAAAAAAACTGATTAAAATGTAGCACTGATTTATACTTAATGGGGGTATTCCCAAACAGTGCTCAGGAGTCCCAAGGGTGGGGCTGCCAATGATTTTTGACCAACTGGGCTTCATTGATTGGGGTTTCAATGGTGGAACCTCAGAGTGCTGAGGATTACTGAGGCCACTTCAGCCATTTCCAGGGCTGCACCAGGCAATAATGATCAAGAGAACATGTAGCACCAAGGATCAACAGCTTCATGGTGTCAGCTTCATGCGAGGGTGGGCCTTGCCCCAGTACTCTCTGAACTCTGAATAGCTTCTGAAGATAAATACTCATACTTCTCTTATTTATAAATATTGAAAATTATAAATATTTTCTTTCCCCCAGTGCCAAGGTACCAAATGCTTGCTTGTTTGAGCAGGCCCAGTAACATCTCCATTGTGAGACTTTCTTGTTACTGTATTTGGCATATTGAATACTCTCGGTAGCTTGCCAGGCTCTCCTGAGAGGGGCGGAGGAATCGAACCTGGCTCGGCCAGGCTGACCCTGCGCAAGACAAACGCCCTACCGCTGTACTATCACTCCAGCCCAAATGCTATCCTTGATAAATCTTGTATAAAAGAATATTAGTAAGTGACCCACAAGCAATCTTATCATCACAAGCAATGCACTTCCTGCTCAGGAATGGCCTCTTCTTTTATGTTTTTCCTTTTATTATCTTTTAAACCTATGAGATTTATCACTCTTATGAATAGTTAAGAGAATATAACTTGGTATATATCTCTTGTTTTGACTAATTTTGTCATGTTCCTTCTTTAGTCCATAGTACCTAACAGGCAATAACACATGGTGAGACCAAATGTTTTTCTATTTTTAACTTACTATACAAAAAAATTAATTCTTGGGGCTGCCAAGATAGCACACCATTCAGCCACTTGCCTCACACATTGCAAGTAGCTGATACCAGTTTGATCTCTGATGATGCATGTTACCTGAGAACCACTAGAGTCCTCTTTGAGCATAGAGCCTGGAGTAAGCCCTGAGTACTGCCAATTATGGCCCAAGACCAATATCAAAAATAAAGGAAAGGGAAGGGAAGAGATGGAAGAGAAGGGATGGAAGCAAAAGCTAAGGCAAGAAAAGGAGAAAAGGGGAAGGAGAAAAGAAGGGGGGACTGGAGAGGGGGAAGGGAAGGGGAAGAGGAAGGGAAGGGAAGTGAAGACTTGCTCTCTAAGCTCCTGTTCTCCCTTGAACATGGGTTTCACTGCTTGTTTCTTTACTGGGCTGGAGCGATAGCACAATGGATAGGGCGTTTACCTTGCATGCGGCCGATCCGGGTTTGATTCCTCCACCCCTCTCGGAGAGCCCGGCAAGCTACTGAGAGTATTCTGCCTGCATGGCAGAGCCTGGCAACCTCTCCATAGCATATTAGATATGCCAAAAACAGTAACAAGTCTCACAATGGAGATGTTCCTGGCGCCCACTCAAGCAAATCGATGAACAACTGAAGGACAGAACTACAGTGCTACAGTTTCTTTAGTAGCTTATTTCCACCATGGAGAAACCCTTTCTCTCTCTACAACAGATATTTCAGGTGTTCCTCTCTTTCCCGCTCCCCCACCCCCCCACTCTTTTTATCTCTCTCTCTCTCTCTCTCTCTCTCTCACACACACACACACACACACACACACACATCTTTCTAAATATGTTTGAATAAAAACTAACTTGCTTCAGGAGAAGAAAGAGAAGACAGGAGGGGACAGAGGAGAAGGGAGAGAAGGAGAGGAGAGAAAAAAATCCTTATATAAGTTCCCTGTGGGAAGTGCCACCTAATAAAAATACCCACTCAAACTCTTTTTTGGATACATGTGGTAAGCAACAGATGTTTTTAGATTATGTAAATTTAGACACTGTCAAATTTAAGAATTTCAAAAACCTACCCTCTTATACTCACACAATAAAATACTAAGTGAAATTATGGTTTGGTGTTGAGACTCTGAAAACTGAAAATGCACAAGAAAATGCTGTTGCAAGGAGAATCAAAAGTCTGTCTACAATTGCACATTTCATTTTTGGCCAATCTCTCAGTAGGTCATTTTGGGGCAATACATTAAGATGGAGTTAAAATGCTATATCTTCATTCCCAAATCTGACATAATCACATAATGCATAGGATTCCGTAATTATGTAATTAAAGAATGCTTGTGTATGTATTTTGTCATCTGTATAAAAGCCTACAGAGAAGTTGCATGTCATTGCTGTTTTTGTTGACATTCATGTCCTTTTAGCTGCCCTATGTCAAATTTTCTAAACCACCATGTATATAACGTCACCTCCTCAGTTTGTTTTAATTATGACTTCTGTAAGCAAGTATAAAAATAATTATCAACACTGAAATAAAATATGAGTATGGCAGACAATAAAAAATCATTCAATCTGACAGCATTTTCAGTGAGTCAAGGATAAAAAGGTAAAGAGGACATTCACGAGAGGTAGAAATCAATATATGCCAGAAGATTAATGATTTATTAATGAGTAAAGTCAACTAGATGTAAAATAAACAACAATAAATCTGACGATATAAATTCTGCCTTCACATTAAATGAAAAATAAATTTTACTTATTTGCAACTGAATGATTTCAGGTGACATGCGGTTCTTTTTAGGTGACTTTTTTTAGGTACATGGGTGTAAGAAAAGAATCATCCTATTGTATCCTAAGAAAAATAAAATATTAACTAAGACTAAAGGGAAACTCAGATTCAGACTGGACCTGGGACAACAGAGAAATTCACATTACGTTTAATACAAAGTAGACAAATTAGAATGTACATGCCAGATCTAATGGAACCAGTCAATGCCAAGTCTATGTGAATAAATTTGGTCATATACATGCCAGATCTAAAATCACTTCCATATGTCTACGCTTTCTAAGCTATTTCATCATTCCACCTGATTCATGACACAAATATTTAAACATGTACCCTTTCATAGAAATAACTATGCATATAAATAGGCATATTTGTTTAAAAAGATTTTTTTTTTTTTTGCTTTTTGGGTCACACCTGACAATGCACAGGGGTTAACTCCTGGCTCTGCTCTCAGGAGTTATTTCTGGCAGTGCTCAGAGGACCATATGGGATGCTGGGAATTGAACCCAGGTCAGCTGCGTGCAGGCAAACGTCCTACCAACTGTGCTATCACTCCACCCCCTAAAAAGATTTTTAAACAATATTTTGTTATATTTCCCTTTAATATGATATTTGGTCCATCAGTATCTACACACAGCCTTGTCATAACAAACAGATTCCTAAGTGTTTTCAACAATAATCTAAATAAATTAGAACTTTGTGAATTAAACAGAATCTGATCTTCTGAGCAGCTTAAATGTGTATATTAAGAACAAATATTTGCCATTCTCTGGTAAAAGTGCTCCATGATGCAGAGCTTCATGGTAATTTAGAATGGAGAAGATTTGATTAGAGTAGCCATTGAAAAGAAAATGAATACATGTAAAGAAAACAACTTACTCTATTGTTTTATTCATTCATTTACTTGTGCATTTATTCTTCTCATTCAGTTAATGTTTATTGAGTACTTGGTATTTCCCAATCATATGATACATTAATGATAAAATATATTAAGTACAGTCACAGATAATTAAGATTTGGTATATGGTATATAAAAGATTACAGTAAGGGAGAAAAACAATTGTGAATGTTGTCTTGCCCATTAGGCTAATAAAAAAATGTCAAACATAAATCTGCAAAACGTTTGTCAAAGAACTTTCTCAGTAAGTGGTTAAATTCACCACTGTTTTTAAAGAAAAGTTTTTGTCCCTAATAAAGTGCTGCCTCTACTGAGAATGATATATGTGTCTTTCCTACATCATTTTTGAGATGGTCTCAAAGCCAACTTCATTATTCCCAGATATAAATAGGGATCAGTCTGGAAAGCAAAATATGGAATTGAAATAGATAATCAGAGGATAAAATAGGAAGAGACTAAATTTTCTTCACCAACCAGGTCTGGTATATTAAAAAATTTATGTTTTAATTTGAATTGTGAAAGGGAGTGCTAAAGGGAAAATCCTGAATGATAGCACATAGAAGGAGCATAGAAATTATAAAGAAATATAGAAAAGAGGCCCGAGAGAGAGTATAGGAAGGAAGGAGCTTGCCTTCTATAAAGCTGGTCCTGGTTTTAACCCCAGTACCACAGATGGTCCCCAGAGCACTCCAGAAGTATACTCTCTGAGTACAGAGACAGGAGTTATTCTTGAACACCTCTGTGTACGGCCCGAAATCCTCTTCCCAAAAAATGTAGAAAAGAAGAAACGGTTTGGAAGTACTTCAGAATTGGAAGTACTTGTGAGAAAACATTTATTAGTAACAATAAAGAATGTGACAAGAAAAGCAAAATGCTTCCAACTGAAATTAGTTTTATATGAACAAAAACAATTGTTTTATTAGCATTACAACAAATACTTTTCTTCTTGTTTCACTGATCATTCATTTCATATTTTAAAGCAGATTTAAATTCTGGAATAATGGATAGAGAAGGGTCAATTTACTGAAGTTATAGGAAAGATCCTTTTTTCTATCATCTTGGTAATATGAGAATATACTGGAGTGGTACAGGCAGGAAAAAAACATTAAAAAATACACAGAGGGCCCGGAGTGAGAGTATTAGTGGGTTGGTCATTTGCCTTGCATATGGCTA